CAATCCATTTATCTATTTTGCAATTAATCCCAAATATAGGATTGCATTGAGAAGAGTATTAAAATTAGGCACTTATTCGAGCGCATCATTCAATGAATCGGTCACTTCTGAGCACTTGAGCGCAAAACATCCCATTTTTACCAATAAATTATCTATTGTTAGACATGAGACTAATTGATAGCCAAAAAATATGACTAAATATGGAAATACGTGTTTATCTATGGAAATAAATTTGACCTCAATTTAAAGTCAATGTTTGATAAGAGGGAGTGTATAGTATAGGGAGGATATTTTTGGGATGTTTTGCATGATATGAAATTATTTACTAATTTAAAAATATTACAGAATTTTGAATTTAATTTATAATTATTGATACAAACACATTTATAGATTATTAATGTTCTTAAATGCTCTTATGTTTAAGCAATTTAGCAATTGTTCAGTGAATTTGTATTTTTTATTTTGGAAGTAAACTTTTTTTTATAACATTTACTTAACTTTTATTGTATTTATTTTACAACTAAACTATAATTGATTTTAAATAAAACAAAAATTTAACGGAAAACATTCACAAGATTTCATACAATATATGAAATGTTAAAAACAAGTTTTTTTTGGAGAAAATTGTTGTTTAAATATTGGTTCAAATGATAAATAGGTGGCTTGAGCGCCTTCTAGTGTCGCTAGAATTACTTAAATGGTATCATTATTTGAGTCAACATTCATAGGCACCAGAAACCAAGTTTCATGAAATTCGCATCAATAGTTGAGACACAGGAATATTTTATATGACACCCGTCAATATAATGTATTCCTATGGGAGAGTAAATATTTTGGTAAAAATGATGGGTGAATTTTGATAAGAATTGATCATTCTCAAACAATAATAGAGATAATACAAAACCCCTACTCTTTTGAAATCTTCAATATTTAATGTATCTAATGATACTAATGAATTCACTGGCCAACAGTGACGGGTACCCCAGCTGTGGCCATATCATTATCGGTAGTCAACCCGATTGGCGGCCTGTATTCGGTCGGTTCGCATTTGATTTTCATAATAGTTAACGTTTTTATATCTTCTCTAAACTATTGTCAGATAACTATTGGTGAGTCCCAATAACTTAATAATCACTTCAAACATGTATTTCATAAAAATATTTTTACTTTAAAAATGTGATAATTTTCGACAAAATATTTTGGTGCAAATTTGTCAAAATAATTCCAACTGACACTTTTTAAAAATTTCCAGAATACAGACCAATTAACCAATCTTGATGAAACTTGGATTCTGGTGCTAAGAATGTTAACTTAAATTATGATATCATTTTAATAATTTTAGCGACACTAGAAGGCGCTCAAGCCACCTATTTATCATTTGAACCAATACAATTCATATTCAGATGGTTTAGAGAAATGCATTTTAGTTTGTTTTGTTAGTAATAGTGAGAGTGATATAAAGAATTGGCACAAAGCTATAATTCATAATACATTTAATGTTAAATATAACAATGATTATTAACTGGTGTTTAATCGCTATTATTCTCACCATTTATCCAATTGAAGGTAAAATTATAAACATCGATATGTTTTTAATATTTCAGTTAATTGAGTGAAGCTTTAGATCTAATTTCATTAATTCAATATCATATCTAAAATATGTTTATTGTATTTAAAACTATTGTTAAAACATTTGAAGAACAGATGGTATTCTGAAACCGAGTCTTCATTTATATACCAGTAATTCTGTAAATCTAGAGTTAAAACTACAATCTATTTAAAAGTTAACTCTTTTATCGTTTCATTTGTAATACTATTTTCTATTATAAAATGAGTAAGAATTTGAATCTTTTAATACTTATAGTGAGTGTTTTGGCTATAAATGTAGTCAAAGGTATTTTAAAATCATAATTATTCTCATTACATGTAATGCATTAAAAAAGTTATTTTAATCTTAAAAACGATTGAAAATTATTTAAGGGGAAGAATTAGAGGCAGATTTATGGATGGAATCGTCGGACCCTTCATCAGTGGTGGAGTCTGTAGAGCCCGAGTGCTCGACAATTGGGTTTATTGAATGCCAACTCTACCAATTGGTCAACCCGTGTCCCGAAAGTTACTTCTGTCACAATTCCAGTGCTATTGAAAAACCCAACTATGGTTTGTGTAGACGAGTGAAGGAGACCTGTGTTCCCGACGGCAAACAATGCTGTCATGACATCGACTGTTGCATCGAAAATGAATTGACGGCTCCTCTCAATTGTGTCGATCAAATTTGTCGCGTTTTGTTTTATTAATATTTTATTTGATTAATAATATTTTATTAATATGTACAATTATTAAAGTGATTATTAAAGAGTTGTTTTTTACATATTTTACATACCTGTAGTGGTAAGAGATATCGAGTTCTAGCTTAAAGATCCGATCATATGATAAGGAGTATTTCAAGACCTATGTGTTATCATATAAATATTAATACATATTTTGCTTGTTAGCACATATTTTCACATATTGTGGAAAAATCGTCGAAATATGTGCAAATTGTATGATATAGTCAAGAATTTTACCTCCGGGGAGGGGGGTGATTTTGATAGTTTTCAATTATTTTTATTTGTTATCTATCAAATACAGTCTGGAAGAACTTCTTTGTTTGTAAACCAGTGTCTGACTCAAGCCATCGATAGTTCCATTCATTTAAATTTTTGTACCATATTATTGCTTTTATTTTTGACTTAACTATTAACTTAATAGTATTAAGTCATAAATCGTAAGATTGTGTAAATTATTAGCACTTTTTGCTAAATTGTTAACAATTAGCTGTTGTTTACAATTCGTTTGAATAATTTTCATATAAATATCACAATTATTATTACATTTATAATAAGTTTAATATAAAGCTTTATATTGTGTATCAATAGAGTTGTGATAGCTAATGAAATTCACAATAGATATATCACTTAAATTAATAATTATTTTTGAGTTATAATTTTGAATTCAACGCGAATTCACTTAATTTGCATTTTGATTGATATGTTGTAAAATTTGGTGAAGTTTAAATTCTTTCTCAATCATAAAGCGATTATCAAAATATATAAGATATGAACCGCCGAATGTTGTGTTGAAGTAAATTGGATTCTATTGTTGTGTCCCTTTAATAGTGATCAATCAAATTATTTTCAATATTGTTATATAACAACCACTGTTATATTCAATATTGTTATGGCACATAGCAATGCCCTTTAAATACAAGTCAATTGGCGACAAGTTATCATATATCATAATCTGATGAATCTGATCATAATCAAAACCTGAAATTAATTTCGTTGGATTTAGCACTACCCATGTTATTCCTATGTCAGACTTAACATTGTCCACAGGATTATTATTGCCTTAGTTGGGACCATCGTGGGTAGAAATTTGAGTTACGTAATTTAAACTATACTATCACATTCAGCATGATACAATAATAAGATTAAGCGAAAACAAGGATCACACGCGATGCTATGCGTTAACCACAATTCGGG